GTTTTTATGTGAATACTACCCATATGCTTTCATTTTGTACATTTTGTAACAAAATTTCATTTTATTATTGGATATCTAATTTATAACAAAAAATTTTGTTTATATAACAATATGTAAGTTTCTATTTTTAAAAATTATCTTATAATTCGTAAAAAGAATCTTTTTTTTTTTTTTCAATAAATCCAAACAAAAAAAAAAAGGGAGAAAAAAAGAAAAATCATTCTTTCAAATTTATCCAAATCCCTTTCATGATTTGATTAAAGGATGTTATGCAAATATAATACTCCGATATACATGCGTATTCGTACATTTCTTTCACTTCTCTAAGGAAAAAATCCATTTAGAAATTACTGCGAATTACTGCGAATACTGCGAATACTGCGAATACTGCGCCACTCAACCAAATGTACTGTGCCAAAACTAATTTATTTATTTACTTATTGTAAACACGAATTTGGTTTGGTATCGGTACAAGGATTAAATTTTTTTGGAATTCATTTACTTAAATAAATATATACTAATATTTAAATAGGTTATTTCAAATAAATAATAATAATAATACCAAGTATTTGGTATATGCTTATATTCTTTCGGAATGAACTTAATAACGTACTTCCGATCTCTAAATTGTACATAAATAATTACGGGGCCATCTTTTTTTTTTTCTTGATTTTTTTAAACAGGTTTTATTTCTTGTATAAAATTAAAGTCGCATAACATTTATCCTATTACGAATGAAAGATTATTATTTAAAGATTATTAAGTTGGGCGTTAAATGACCTGTCATAAATCAAGATGGTTTATAATCTTTTTTAAAATCCAGTTAAGTTTAATTTTTCAAAAAAAGGGGGACCCGGAGAAACCATATTTACGTATTTAAAAATAAAAAAAAAATTCATGCTTTACTTTTCTAGTCAAATGAACTTTAAAATAATAATAACCTTTGTTAAAAAAAAAAAAAAAAAAAAAATTTTTTTTTTAAAGACGCATTTTGATATAACCTAATTTAGAAAATAACGTTAATTAAAGGAAAAAACATCTAATCGCCGAAATCTCCGAAATTATTAATTTGGGTTTATTCATTTACCATGTAAAGGACATAATAAAAATCCGAAAAGTTCTAGTAATTACCGCTTATACCGCTTATACCGTTTATACGGCTTGAAATAAAAAGGAGCTAATAAATAAAAAAAAGGAGCATTCTTTAGCGGGTTAATAGTATGTACGTTATTATTATATAATGGGAAAATTTTCTTCCTAACGAAAAAAAAAAAAAAATTTCATTCGAAAAAATACTGATGTTATATTAAGTAAAGATTTTCCATGATATCATTCATAGGTTTCTAGATTTGTATTTATATTGAAAAGAAATTTTTTTTAATTAAAAAAAGTAAATCGGTAAATCGAGTTTCATACAAAATACATTCAAATCGAGAGTTATATAAATGAAACTTTATTTCTATAATTTGAAAGGAGGAAGAGAAATTTGATTGGTCAAACTTTAAAAAAACCTGTTTATTCTCTAACGTATTTCCCCTTTATATTCCTTACCTAACGAATATCATCATCTGATGGTAACGAGGTCATGTGTAACACTGAACAAATCCGCTTGAGAACAATGATTCCACGGTCACGACCGGTCGGAGAATCCTTAACATTTTTAAACCTTGAAATTAAATTTCTTTAAAGAAAATCTAAATAAAGGAATTCTTAATTAAATTTTGTTTGTATAGTATGACATTGAAAGTGAACACAAAATATGAAATAATAATAATAATAATAATAAAATACTTATAATATACTATACTATATACTATATATAGTAAATATATATATATATATATAAGGTATAACAATATACAATACTTGTAATATAATAATATAAATGACAATCTCGTGATTTTTATTCATAATTATTTCTAATTATTAAAATTATTAATTAAATTATTTGTGTACTAAAAAAAAAAAAAATGCGATAAATACTTAAAAATGCGTTAAATGCGTTAAAATTTGTTAAAGTACGGTTTAAATAATAACATATTTGTCGTTTTGCATATGTCAAATTTTTTTTTTCGAAAAAATTTGTACTAATGACGATAAATAATTTTCCGCATAGAAAAAAAAAAAGTTTACGATATTCGGAGCATTTGCGGTTAATGCAGATTATGCAACTGCTAGAATATTTTGGAATTTCTTTTATCCAAGTAGAGAAAAGTAATGAAGATGATAAACATTACACAAAGAAGTTCTAAAAGGATTAAGATTTAAAGCCACATATCCCGTCATATCGAATTTGTACAGAAATTGTATGCACTGTATACACTGTAATTGTATCCTTTACGCCTTTATAATATTATGTGTGAATTCACCGAGTACCGTCATACCGATATCTCCTAACAATATATACTTCATGTTATTCTCGGTAATTTACGAAAGTATTGAAAGTATTTACTTTATTTCGTTATTTTGTCGACAAGAAAATTTTTGGTTTGCATATAAAATTATGAATTTGTAATTTGTTTTTATTATTCGCTTTTAATAACTTTTCATTACTTTGAATACTTCAAAAGGAATTAAATAGAAAATTTCATTGCACGTGACGATCAGATCGGCCGTTAGGGCGTTGTTTTTTTGTTCATTATTAGTATACAATATTAATGATCGAAATAAACGCGTTTTTCTTTTCTTGTGCATTTTAAGAATTTTTAAGAGTTAATTTTAAGTGATTATAATGTTTATGCAATTTTATTATTATTAAAAATTTTGCATGTGTTTGACAGTTTTTGAAGTGTTTATTTTCCTTTTAAATATTATTTATATTTATAATATAAGAATACAAAAGTATTATTTTAAAATTCATTCTTTCCTCTTTTTAACTTGAAAATACCTGCGTAATCGGTTATTAGTTTATTACATTTTGTTGAATAAATATTTATTCAAACGTAATAATTTTGATAATTTTGGTTACTGCGGTTAATACGATAAAAAAAAGTCGTTTTTTTTTTCTTTTTTACTTCTTGACTCGGAGAAAAACTACGGAATATTTTTCGGAATTTCAGAAATTACTATTTTTAATTTTTTAATTTTAATTTTAATTTTTAAATTTTTTTTTTTTTAAAAAAAAAATATATATACTGTATGTATATATATATATATAATTCGTATCATTTTAAAAAAAAATCAAGCCAAATTACTAAATCGATTAATTTTAATAAAGTAAAAAAAAATTTATTATTTTTATTATTTTTATTATTTTTATTATTTTTATTTTTATTTTTATTTATGTATAATTCTTGTTTTTCTCGGTTGCTTTATTATAATATTATTATTAGAAATTAAAAAAACCATACAAAATCATACTTGATGTCATTCCGCATTTACCCGCTAATTTATCACGATCGGTGACGTACTTTTACGTGACGTTAACTATTTTACTATCATCAATTATTATTATAATAATACATGTTCAGGCTTTATAGGCTGTATGTTATGTAGGATTATTGATTGATGTAATATGCAGATAAATAATAAAAAGAAATTTTATTTTTAAAATTCAAATGCAGGTGACTTTTTTTTTTTTCAATTTCCTTAAAAAAAAAAATAATTTGAAATGCGACTTGAAAATCAAAATAATTCCCACCGGGTCAGTTTCTTTTCGTTTTTAGATCGAATAATAAATAATAATAAGAAGAAAAAAAAAAGAGATGCGTATTATAAGCCACAAACATCACAAAACAATTACAAAAAAAAAAAAAATTCGGTGAAATAATAATAACAATAAGTTAAGAT